ATACACTGTTGGTGGGAATGCAAACTGGTGCAGCCACTAGGGAAAACAGTATGGAGATTCCTCAAAAAATTAAAAATAGAAATACCATATGATCCAGCTATTCCACTACTGCGTATTTACCCAAAGAACATGAAATCAACAATTCAAAGAGACTTATGCAGCCCTAAGTTCATTGTAGCATTATTCACTATAGCCAAGATGTGGAAGCAACCCAAGTGCCCATCAACTGATGAATGGATAAAGAAAACATGGTATATATAAATATATATACAACAGAATACTACTCAGCCATAAAAAAAGACAAAATTGTCCCATTTGCAACAACATAGATGGACCTTGAGGGTATTATATTAAGCAAAATAAGCCAGAGAGAGGAAGACAAACACCATATGATTTCACTCATATGTGGAAGATAAACACAGGGACAAAGAGAACAGATTAGTGGTTACCAGAAGGGGATGGGGTGGGGGTGGTGAAAGGGGCACATATGTATGGTGATAGCTAAAAACTAGACTATTGGTGGTGAACATGATGCAGTCTTAACAGAAACTGATAAATAATAATGTACACCTGAAATTATGCAATGTTATAAACCAATATGACCTCAATAAAATAATTGAAGGAAAAAAAGATGGGGCCGGCCCAGTGGTGCAGCAGTTAAGTTCACGCATTCTGCTTCAGCTGCCTGGGATTCACCAATTCGGATCTTGGGTGTGGCCATGGCACTGCTTGGCAAGCCATGCTCTGGCAGGCATCCCACATATAAAGTGGAGGAAGATGGGCACAGATGTTAGCTCAGGGCCAGTCTTCCTCAGCAAAAACAAAAACAAAAACAAAAAACAGGAGGATTGGCAGCAGATGTTAGCTAAGGGCTCATCTTCCTCAAAAAAAGAAAAAAGAGAGAAGAAAACAGGCTGTTGGGTTTTGATAGGGATTGCGTCAGACCTGTAGATTACTTTGGGTAGTGTTGCAATCTTAACAACATTAAATCTTCCAATCCATGAAAAAAATTAAAAAAAAAAATAAAGAGTAGAGTCAGGTGGGGCCCAAAAGGAAGCACTGGAGGAGAGAGAATACTGGGAGCTACCTTGAACGTGGAGAAGGCATGCATGGGCAGACTGTAGGCAGACACCTCGGGAGCGTGCTGAGCATTGCTGGCGAAGAAAGCCAGGGTGAGCATTGGAGGGTCCGGAGAATGGGCTAAGAAGTCCGGACTTTATTTTGTGGGCTCTTGATGTATTGTCACCTTATTTAAGCCTTATAACCACCCGGAGAGGATTACAAAAAGAAAGAGAAAACATATTCCTATTTTACAGAAAAGGAAGTTCAGACTGAGGAAGTGAGAGGCTCACAATCCTAAAGTAAGTGGTGGAACGAGGATTGGAAGTCTGAACACAAAACCTGTGCTTTCTCCACTCCAGCTCACAGCATCCCAACACTGCCAGTCCAGTAAATCAAAAAGTAAGTAGTGTTGCCCAGGACTCACCTCCTCTGAGCCAGGGCCCAGAAAAGCTCAAGGTCCCCCTTCTCAACTCTCAGTCTCAGCATCCTAGGAACCTGCAGAGGCATCTTCTCATGCCCACCTTTCATACTCTGCCATCTGTTTCTCTTTCCAGCCTTCATTTCCCACCACACCCTACAAACATTCCTCCAGTCCTTTCTCCGTGACGTTGGCCATTTGCTCTACCTGGAACACCCGCACCCTGTCCTCTCTCTGTCTCAATCCTGGCTCACTCCTGATGTACTTTCCCCACTCAGCTCAAACGTCGCTTCCTCCCAGAAGTCTTCCTTAACACTCCTCTCTCCCCCCGGGGAATTAAGTCTTCGATCCTCTGTACTTCCAAAACTCCTCAGCTGCTCTACGATTCCCCATACTGGGTCTTACGGTTCATTTTTCCTCATAGGTCTAGAGCTACACAGTGGTCACTTGATAAAGGATTGTTGAATGAATGAGCGGAGTCCTCTTTTCTGCTCTAAAGCCCTGCTCCTTGCCCTGACCCTGGGGACTTCCTCTACAGCACTCTGCACTCCCTGCGCCGGATCCCTGGTTATCTTCCTTCCTGGCCTGCTGCGTCCATTTGGTCTCCTCCATTGGGGGCTCTGCCCTCATCAAAAAGCAAAGCCAGATACAGATGACCTCCAGAACCAGAGGAAATTCCCAGATGCTCTCCCCACCTTACTGCTCAGAGGGACAGTGAGAGTTAACTAGTCATTCAGCCTGGAAAGGATGAAGAGAAGAAGAGAGCCTTGGCCCCGGGGGAGGTCACCAGCACCCCCTCCCTGATGGCTGATGGCAGCCTCTGACATCAGCAACAATTGTATGCCCCGGTCCTCCCCGCACCACCTCCTCCCCTCTCACAATGGCCATAACCTTCCACAGGATGGCAACAGCGGGACCTTGAACACTATCTGCATGTCCTATCTCATAATAACCCCCTCCCCACCACCTCCCCTGAGGCACACATGTGCATGATGGCGCTCGTGGACCAAGCAGGGAGGGTAGCTGGCATCCAGGCTTCTCAGCACGCCCTCTGCACCTTCTCTGTCTGTGTCAATGAAAGGCAAAGGGCTCCTGGCACAGGCTGGAGCCTCGCCCCTTGCCGTCTTCTGGGATTCTGCAAGGTTGTAAACAGAGCCTACAGGCAGGTTTCCTAAGTCAAAGGACGCACCTGCACCCCCAGCGGCTTCCCCAGTTGGTCACCCAATAGAGGAGCAAGAACCTGCTCTGTGCCCTGCCTGGAGCCAGGTGCTGGGAGGGGAAGTGGACTTGGCGCCCGCCTCGGGGAGGAACAGTTCCCCAGAAGAGACAACCACACTCACACAAACCGATAACACAAATCAGGACTAAGATGGTGCCTTCTAGTGGTACAGACATAAGGCTGTAAGTCAGAGGAACGAGTCATTCCAGAAGGTCGGGGTGGTCAAGGAAGGCTTCAAGCAGAGGACAGGCCTTAGGGGGCCTCGAGGGATGGGCTGGGAGCCCCCAGGCAGCCACTGCTCAGGGAGGAGCCCAGGACAAGGGCCTCTCTGGGTTGCTGGACCCATCACGCTGCTTGTGAAGGGGTTGAAATGGGGGGTGTGGGACTCACCCTTCTCTGTATGGGCTCCAGGACCACGGCCTGGCTCTGAGCCAGGTCCTGTGCCTTTCTTCCTTTCTGGAGTGAGGGAGACAGCAAGAGTCAGTGGGGACCTGCTACTGCTCCCCTCTTTGTAGGCCTTCCCCCTGCCTCCATGCAGTGGTGACAGGACACACAACTCTCTCACACAGGAGACAGGCCCTGGGTCAGGGGCAAATCCAGTGTGATTCTCTTGACCCCCAATATCCTTCCCACTGAATCTGGCTTAAAAGCAACCTCAAGGTCAATGTTAAAGGGAAAAGATTTTGTCAGAGACCAGCGTGCAGGCTGGAAGGGGATCCCCTCACGGGGTCTGGGTGACAGTTTGGGAACTGCAGAGGAGACGTGGCCTCCTTGAATCCCTGGTTAAAGCACAGGGCCCCCAGAGTACAAAGTCTGGAGTTGATATTGGACCTGAAGTGAGTTCACTCACCCGTCACACAGCAAGCCAATCTTGACACCAAGTGTAGTGCAAGAAAGGAATTTTATTGCAAAGTGTTGAGAAAGGAGAATGGGCAGTTCATGCTGTAATCCTGAATTCCTGGAAGAGCCACAAGCAAGGGTTTTTATCTGGGGTTTTAGGGCGGGGAGGGGAAGCATGTGGCCCTGGGGCTGAAGTTCTCTGCACACGCATGACTATCTATTCTATGTCTTCCACGTACTGAGTTTTCAGTCTCTGACGTCTAAAGTTTACAATCAGTCATTTTAGCTTCTCAAAGTTCCTGTGAGATCCATAGGCAGGTAGGTGGCTGTCAGCAAGTTCCTCTCTTATCAGCCGTCCTCCTGCTGTTCTGCAAGGCAAGCTCAGAAACTGCTTGTTTCCCATGTTAACCTTGTGGGTACAAGGCACAGTTTCACCCTCATCCAGAGAAATGTTAACTCCTTTCTCCTCAGCTGCAGAGTGAGCACCCCAACACCTTGTTTTTTCAATCTTTCAGCTCATGCCGAGCCCTGTGGCGCAGCCTGCACAGCTGAGGGTACTTAGGGAAAGTGTGCTGAAGGGTGGGGGGCATGGCCGGGCCCTGGTCCCCTCTCTTTGTGTCGCTGGCCAATTGTACCCTCTGCTCTGCGAGCTTTCAGGACTCAGCCCTGACGGATCATGCTTGCTCCAGCACAAACGCCTAAGAAGGGAACTACTCTGGAAACGGCTTTGGTAAAGGCTGCTTATATAAATGGATGAGTAAATAATTGAACAGAATAATTGAACACTAAGTTTCTGGGGACTGCAGGAGGAACCGTGTAAAGATGGACTGACAGTCAGAGGACGTGTGTTGTTGTCCCAGCCCTGCCGCTGACAAGCTGTTTGACCTTGAACCAGTCATCTCCACTCTCTGAACTTCAGGCTCCTCATCCAGGAGCTGGATGGCCTCTACCAGCTCTGACCCGCTAAGTTCTCTTAGCAGATACCCTGGGCACTCCCAGGGCAGTGTTTCTCAAAGCATAGAGTGCCGTTCCCAGAATACCTGCACGGCAATCACCTGGGAATTGTTTTAATGCAGGTTTCAGAGCCTCCATTCTAGGCCTGGTAAATCTGGAGTTTATAAGGATGAGGGCTAGCAATCTGCATTGGAAGCCGGACTCACATGTTGAGAACCACTGTCAGATGGTGTATGCTTTCTTCTAAACTGCCTTGACCTCAGCTGCTGCTTTTTCTCTCCCCTCCATCGACTGGTGCCTGGCACTCAACCTCCCCCCTCCCCTGCCACGCTTCCCACAAATGGCCAAAGCTGCAGTGTGAGGCAATCCCACAATCCCTTTATCCCTTTATCCCTGACCCATTCCTTTGTACGGTGAGTGACGGTTTTTTTATCTCTAGATGATGAAGCAACAGCCTTCAGCTGAGGCATTTAAGATGACGAACACACATTCCCAGCCACAGCTGCAGGACCCAGAGGCAGATCCTGACAGGCTCAGGAGGTCTGGAAGAAGCTCCCCTTGAGAGTAGGAGCAATAGCAGCAGCAGCAACAGCACTGCTACATTTGCACCCGCGGCTGGAAACGATGCTCCTCGCGACGTTTAAGCTGTGCGCTGGGAGCTCCTACAGACATGTGCGCAATATGAAGGGTGAGTGCCCTCTGGAAGGGGCATTCGGCTGGCGACCAGGAGCTCTCAGGCAAGGTGGCTTAGTGGGGCAAGTGCTGCACTGGGGGCAGTCCACTCAGGTTCTGATCTCAGTTTTGCCTCTTATTGGGTAAGCCTGCGCAAATTCCTTCCCTTCGGGACTGCAATTTTCCCACCTGAAGAACCGGGCTGGATGCTAAGATGCCTGTGTCCCTTCTAGATTCTGTAATTTCTGGTCTCCCCTTCAGGGCTCCAATCTTTCTTGAACTCTTCCTGACTGCCTTCCTCTAGGATTGGTACCAATGGTAGCAGGAAAGTCCTAGCTGGTGGTAGAGGCAGGAGTAAGCCTTGACTCCAAAAAGAGTGTTGGCAAGCCTGAGACAGGGGCAGGGAACAGAGGGGGAGGAAAGAGAGGGAGCCAGGCAGCAAAGAGTGAGGTAGAGAGAGTGAGGCGGGCAGGCGGTCTTGTTATTACTGCACAGTCAGGAGGCAGAAACCAGTTACCAAGGCCACTTTGGTAGAGCTAATCAGGACCCAGGGTCATTTGAGTCAATCTGCTGCTGTCGCTGAAAGGTTCGCAAGGACTTAACAAGTCCTTTCCAATGACACAGTGTTGAACTAGCTACTAGTGAGATGGAGCCATGCTTAAAACCCTGCACCCAGCAGTAGGGCTGTTCTCACTAGATCCACTCGCCTGGCTCAGACTCCAGTGGCACCCTGAGCAGGTACTCATGCAAAGGACCCTAGCTGCTAGCAGCTATGCAGACATGAGGGCACAGGTGTCTTTAATTCTCCTTCTGTAGCATGCCAGAGTCCCGCCCCAGCTGAGTCCAGGTTCCTGAGGGATGGACGGCGTCGGCGCAATGAGGGGAAAATAAAGAGAACGTGAGACTTGGGTTGGTGTTAGCAAGTCCAGCTTTACTGTGCACAAGTGGCGTTTATATATTTTTCAAGATTAGTACAGAAATAGCTCTACAAATATTCTCAGAGAGATAAGGAAGTAAAAAACGAGCACAAGAATATTTATTAGCATTCTATTCTATAGAGCATAAGGTTAATGGTAGTCTTCTCCATAATTAACTAGTGTTTGTTGCCTCTGAGCTAAAAGAGATAGGTACCTAGACATCTATTGTAATTCATGGTAAAGTTAAATCAAAGAGAGAAGGTCCAGGCCTCCGGACAGGACAGCAGTCTGTCTGGTTACATCCTGGGGGAGCCATCCCTGCCTCCCTCAATCATTTACACCATTAGTGTAGATGGTTAATGGGAACAAAAGGCGACTCCAGGGTATCTTATCCCCAGGGCTATTTGCATTCTCAGCAGGCAGTTAAACATCTTTACATTCCCGCACCCTTTAGGGGGTGAAAGCATTCCTTTGTCTTTTAGATTGTAGAACTAACAGTCCCTTAAGCACGCTGCCGTAGAAAATATCACTTTGTTAATAAAGTAAAGGGCTGAAAAGCTAAGCTAAACTATATATCTTCAAGAATGAAAAACAGAAATAAGTATAGACATAACCTTGATAGAAAGCATGCATATAATTCAGAAAATATCAGGGGTGTCGGCCGGCCATTCTTCACCGAGGGGCATCCCTGCACCCCTTGGCCCTTCTACTCATCAATTATTTATTATTTATTGCTTTTAGGAGAAAACCTCTATAACATTTTAACAGAAAGCAGAAGGTCAAGAATAATATATAGATACTTCTTGAATATCCAATTAACCAGCAAACTTAGAAGGACGATGCATATATATATTTAGACAAAGAACTGGAGGGAGAAGGAAACATTAACCAGATGGAGGCCACAAACCTAATTCGACATCTTATCTGGGCAGGATTCCTTTCTGCTTGTCTCAAAAGGGACTGTGTGCTCCTCCAATAATTAACTGCATCAAATGAAATTAGCTCTCAGAAAAATATCTTGAAAGTTACCTGCAGGTGGTCACATTCTCTTACTATATTTAATTCTCCCGGGAGGTAGTGCCTCCCAAGCAGCCACCCAAAGGAGTGAAAACTGGAGGTTAAGAAAGGAAAAGGAATGAAGGGCAGTTAGAAGCAGCACAGGTTTCAGAACTATGTGAGGGGCTGGCCGGTTATTCTTCACCAAGGGGCGACCCTGCACCCCTCGGCGTTAATCGGCTGGACCCTGTCAAACAGCCGATCAAATGATGTAGCCATGGCTCCTGGCAGTAGCAGAATTTTTCTGGTTGCTTGAACAAAGCCTGTCTCCCTTTCAAGAAGGAAACTTCAGCAGGCTCTGGTGCAGCCCCTGCCTCCAGGTAGGACCAGGCCTGCCCGGCCAGAAGGAAGGCAGTAAATTCCTGGCCCTGGAGGCACCTGATGCAGTATAATGAGCACTGGACTGGGAGTTGACCTGACTCTAGTTCAGGTCCCTGCTTAGGAATCTGTGTTGCTGAGCCAGTTTCCTTATCTATGACAAGATAAACAGGTGGGATGATCCATCTCTAAAGGGCTTTCCTCCTAAGCAACAGTTTTCTTCCCTCCCCGCAGGGCTGAGGCACCAAGCTGCCTTGGCCATTGGCCAGGAGCTGAACTGGCGGGCACCTGGGGGCCCGACCCAGAGTGGGTGGATCAACCAGGTTCGGCGTCAGAGCTCTCTGCTTGGTAAGTGCTGAGGCTTCTGGGATTCTGGCAGTGGCAGGAGGCTCTGGGGTGCAAACGTTGTGCATGTGGCTCAGGTTCCTTCTCCTACCCCACCCGACCAAGGCCTTTCTCACTCACTTTGAGAGGATAGGAATGGAGTTCCTCAAGGCCAGATCCCCTCCCGTTGCCTGCAGCTGACGTGTCTAACTTGACCTGCCAGCTGGACCCTATGGCTCTTCAGAGGAAAGAGCAGATCCAGAGATCAAAAGGATGTAAGCTTGTGGGAGGCTTAGGGGACCAGAAGGCAGCTGGTTCTCTCCTTGGGTGTGTATCCAGGCTCTCAGCTAGAAGACACTCTCTACAGCGACCAGGAGCTGGCCTATATCCAGCAGGGAGAGGAGGCAATGCAGAAGGCCCTGGGCATCCTCAGCAACCAGGAGGGCTGGAAGGAGGAGAACCAGCAGGTAAGGGTGGGTATGGAGGGACTGCACTTCCTCACTGTTCCACCGCCATCCTCAAGGTCAGCGAGGGTCTCTGCTCTGCCTGCTTCATGCAGTAGTCACGGGGCAGCAAGGTTGTTTTAACTCGAGAATTTTCCTTTCCCAAGTATATATCTTCAGATACTCCCTTCCCCTATCAAAGACATCTTAGAGACTCCTGTTTGAGAAACACTGTTCCTATATCCTGGAACCTTCAAAGGCATTGTCCACGCATTCAGCAGAGACCATGCAATGGGGGTTCCGCGTTCATTAGAGGCCTCATCACCCTGGGTCAGAAGTTCCAGTGCCAAGGCGCAGTGTCTGTGCTGTTCAGCCCGCCTGACAGCTGAGCCTGCTGGGATGATCTGGGCTCACCGGCAACAGGGCTAGACTAGAATACGGATGGCCCGAGGCCATATTCTTCTCTACTCCTGAGCACTGCACCTTCACTGGGAACTAGTAACAAACAAGGCAAATGTTAAAGGCCAGTGGCTCCATTGAGACTTTGGTGGCTTTATCTTCAGCCAAAGCTTACATGCTGCCCATTGCCCAAAGTTCAGGTAAAACTTCTCCAAGTTCTCTAACAGACTATTAGTTTGGGAGTCAAGAAATCTGGGATCTAGCTCTAGGAATGCTCTTAGCTAAGAGCAAATCACTGACTTTCTCTGGCCTTACATCCTTGTGGTATAAAATGAGGTAGTGGACTAAGAAAATCTTTAAGATCCCATTCAACATTCTAAGTATGTCATTAACTGGTTGTAGACCAGACTTTTCCCATTCCCAGGTTTGTGTCTCTCAGGATGTTTGAGCTTCTGAAGTCGAGTAAGGGCCTTTTCAGTTGGACCTACCCGCACCCAAAATGTACCACCAAGAAAAAAGGGTCCAAGGGGGCCGCAGTTTGCCTCTCAAGTCTTCAGCAGATGGACGAGGCTTGTGGAGGAAAGATTACCTACTCCATCTTAATCAGAAGTAGTTCCAGGCTTCCTCATGCTTAGCTAAGACTTCTTTTTGCTGGTCCTCTTCCTGCCTTGCCTGGCATTGTCTACATGCCCTAGGCTAGGAATATTTTTGTCTAACCTTTATCCTGGAGCTCGTTTCTCTGACAGGCAAACGGGGACAAAGTGCTGAGTAAAGTGGTCCCAGACGTGGGCAAGGTATTCCGGCTGGAGGTGGAGGTGGACCAGCCCATGGAGAGGCTTTATGAAGAGCTTGTGGAACGCATGGAGGCCATGGGAGAGTGGAACCCAAATGTCAAGGAGATCAAGGTGAGGGGAGTCCAGGTGTGGGTGGCAGGGACCCATGGGAGCCCAGCATGAAAGGCGGGCCAAAGACTGGGCTGCAAGCTGTGGGTGGAGCCTTAGCCTGAGCACTGGCTGAGCAGTGATTCTGCTTCCCTGTGGCCTTAGGTCCTGCAGAAGATTGGAAAAGATACCGTCATCACCCATGAGTTGGCTGCAGAATCAGCAGGAAACCTTGTGGGGCCCCGAGACTTTGTGAGTGTGCGTTGTGCCAAGCGCCGAGGCTCCACCTGTGTGTTGGCTGGCATGGCCACACAGTTTGAGGAGATGCCCGAGCAGAAAGGTGTCATCAGGTAATCCTGACAGCAGGCTCAAAAGCTCCCTTTCCTAACACAGGCCTCTGGGCATGCACCTGCCAGTTGTGTGATGAATCCCTGGCTCCAAGAAACCAGTCCTTGGTCCGTACCCTCAGCTTCCTTTTACAAAGGAAGATTCTCATTTTCCAGAGTAGGAGGAAGGCAAGATTGGCCCTACTTATATACCCAGTTTGTCCCTCCCCTCCCAGAAAGGTTAAGAACCTTAATCATTTTCTAAAATAAGAGGTAGGGCTGAGCTTCAACAGGTACGACTGTACTATTGATGAAAATATAATCCATACCACTCAGAACATAGCTGCTACCTGAGTTTCCCAGGGGCCCCAGCCACCACCCTGGACCCTTTCCCCCGATCTCCCAGTCATCCAGCAACTAAAAGGCACCACAGGAGGCCTCCATGTTCCAGGTCCGGCTCCAACCAGCCATTTGTTCTAATGAGCTGGTAACCATGCCAACTGTTAAATATCACCCTTGGCAAAGGATACTTCTCTGATGAGATTTGGAGGACAAGATACTTGAGAAATGTGGCAGGTATAACTTGTCAGCATAAAAGAGGACTCTGAATTGTCCTCCTGACTACTTCTCTTCATTTACCAGAGCTGAGCATGGTCCCACTTGTATGGTGCTCCATCCCCTGGCTGGAAGTCCCTCAAAGACCAAACTCACTTGGCTGCTCAGCATTGACCTCAAGGTGAGGGGCACAGGAGATTGCTCAGTGGGTGGGTAGTGGTGAGAAAAATAGACTCTTACCCCTCCCACATTGTCTGACACGGATCAGGAAAACTCCTCTTCCATTTTGAGAGAATCAGACTGTTGGAGAGGGAGAGACTTGACTAATGGCCTAATTGCTATCCCATCATCTCAAAAGCCTGCAAATGGCTCCATCTTACCTCTCATATCAAATTTCAACTCTGTAGTTATAGTTATCATTTTAGAAAGAAGGAAACTTAGGCCCAAAAAAGATATGGTAACTAGCTCTGGGTCACCCGGCTGGGAAGAGGGTTGAAATTTGTCTTGACAGTAGGGCAGTAATGCAGCCCTTAACCCTGGTCGACTGCACGGTTGCACCTATAAACAGAGATGGAAGACCAAGCCCTAGGCAGCCCACACTGTGATAGGGTACAGAGGTGTCTAGACTGGAACATCAACCTCAAGGGGGCCAAATTCTTCTATCCTCTCCTCTAGGGATGGCTGCCAAAGACTATCATCAACCAGGTCCTTTCGCAGACCCAGGTGGATTTTGCCAACCATCTGCGCAAGCGCCTGGAGTCCAGCCCTGCTCCTGAAGCCAGGTGTTAAAGACCAACTTGCTGCTCCCAACTGTTCCTAGCTGCATTGGCTTGCATGCTCATCAGGAAAATCCCTGCCAGAAGCCTCAACATCTGTTTAAGATCTTTATCTGAGGATAGTGTGATGGGGTGGTAGTATGTTTAGAGTATGGTAATAGGACTCAGACTGGTAAAATTTTACTACCAAGAAAATGGGGACAAGGCTCTTAGAAGAAACTTCTAGCTTCTTCACTGATTAGCTACGAAATGAAGGTTAAGGGTCCCAAAATATTTGTAAAACTTTTTCCTGGGTCTAATGTCTACCTGAAAACATCTTAAAAATGCTACTGGCTGATACGGGGTGCAGAGGTGCTAAATACAAGGACTGGGACCTCATGCTTTACGGGCTCAAGAGCTCCATTCTCTGCAGGCAGTGTGTATGGACATTCAGGGTCTTACAAAGGGGCTCCGGCAACCCTCCCCTCCTACACCAAGTAGGTAGAGAGCTGCTCCACTGGACAAGCAACTCCCCACAGCAGGTGCCTGCTAAAAGCCTAGTCCAAGTTTTCTTGATGAAAAAGTACAAAACTAATTATTAGACTGCTTCCCTTACTTCTTAGACGAGCAAGTCAGAATAAAGAATCATAACTAACACACAAACTTCAGCCTGTGCATGTTTTAAAATTCTGCTCCTAGAAAAAAAAAATCTAGTAAATTGCAACTGCATACTAAAGGAGTCCTGGACAAAGATTTTAATTAAACTAAATCCCCTAGCTCATTAAAAGGAAAAACTACTGGGTAGTTATGTCATTCGACTAGAATCAGTTACCAGAATCTTTCATAAAAATTTAATTTCCACGATATGCACAAGCCTTCATCAGTTCTTAAACTCTACAACTGGTAACATTTCAAGATGAAGATTATGACTGAGGATTTTTATTTACCTAATTAAAAGGAAGGACAGTACCAAATATGAGAGAACGAACGGCATTACTAAGATAAAAACAAATTTTATTTTCCCGTAGTGATTGTTTAGACCTAAAAATGGAACTGAATCTTTAGTTCAGATTCTATTATATCAGCTTTCAGCTTGGCTTGGGCTGCCACTTTATCTGCTTAGTAGGTCAGTGTTTTACTATTTTGAGGAGATGGCTGGAAGAAGGGGTAATATGGTGTTAGCAAATTCCCTTTCCAAGATTCAGAGACTTTTTGCTTTGAAAATATAAATCGGGATCGGATTATTTTGTTAAAATGTGCAAGTAGGATGAAAAACCAACATTACCACTTGAAGCTTTTCCATTTTAGTTCTAAGAGCATTATGAACATAATTTGGAAACATAGCTCTAGCTTATTAAACAAATTAGCAGTAGTGGGAATGCTCATGTTTACTGAGGTATTGAAATTTTACAATTGGTAGAGGTATTATTATTTATTCTGATTGTTTGTTAGAATAGTCTATTTTTGGCATAGATCAAACTGTTTATCTTTCCAGGAGCTTCAGTGTGAGAGAGAGAGCTGTAGAGGTGTTTCTAGAACAGAATTACCATCCACTCCCAGCTAAGAAACATGGTCACTTGTTTGAAGATGGGTAAAGCAATACATACTCTGGTTTCAAAAGTAAAGAAATGGTCTTTCAACACACACCATGGTTTTGAGCTCAATTATAATTTGCCTTCTTCAAACTACGCACTGTGTCTTTGGGGTGACTGGAGAGATATTTTCCCACTTGTTTAATTTCATATTGGAATAAAATAAGTTGTCACTGATGATCTGTTTAAAGAAACCATTTTATACAGGACTGTATGGGCGTGGATATTCTTTGAGCCCTTCAAATGAACTTCTCAAAAGACAGACACTTCGAATATGAAGTATAAAGAGGCAAAATCATTATTTCTGTAACCTCTAATTTATGAAAGCCAAATGTACAAAAACCTAATTTTATCATTCAAATTAAATGAGTGTACAAGTTATATATGTGGTGATTTATATTACAAAGAATTTACCTCCAGCTTCCTTTAAATAATACCACCCTCAATTTCTTAAGAGTTCTTCAAACTCTGATGATCCAGAAGATTTATAACCAAACCTGCCCTTTAAGACCAGCCATGAATGAATAAGGTGTCCAGGGGTGACAGGCTGAGACTTCAGCCTACGATCATACTGATTCTGTTAGGTTTCCTGTTAACAGATGTGAAAGAGCCAAAATAAAGAGGCTGAGTGATTCGTTAGGAGACAAGATATATTAGTCAGAGCTACTGTGTTAAGATACCAACGGTCACTTGAAATCTGGGAAACTTCTTAAACATAACATATGCATAATATATGGTGATTCCTGGCAACATTTGACCTATCTTGTGGTGAACCACTCTACCTATTAACCTAGGCAGAAAGTTCTATGCAGGGAAGTCTCTGGGGCAATCCTGGGACAGCAACATTGCCACTGATGTATTAAAAACGGAGACAGGGAAGCCACAAAGAGATTTCAAGGGAAGGCTCATTCTTATATCCCAGTTTTGAGTATTCTGAACACTGTCCTTTAATCATCAGCTATCACAAAGGAAGATGAGCAGGCAGGAAACACCCTGCGCACATCAACACACACATTCAAAGGAAGGCCGGAGGCAGACTCTTTTAAACTCCTGTTCACCTCCTGAGAATCCGATCTTCACAGGATAAAGAGGCGGATGAGCTGGCTGGAGAGAATGGAAGCAACAGGACAGGGGTTGAGATGTGAGTCAGAAATCTGTCTCTTTTCTCCAATGTGGGCTCCCTGTCCTCAGACTACCCACATTTCTGACACTGTCACCAAGAGGAACCCAACCTGAAAGGGAAGCAAAATGCCACACATGCTTGACGACAAGTTTTATTTGGGAAGAGTTTCTAATTGTTAAAGCTGCAAGCAAATTCCCTTCACAATTAGAACAGTTCTAGAGACCTAGTAGTTTCAGAGATCCCAGTGTTCAAATGTATATTTCAAAATGAACAACAAAAACAAACCCACACCAAAAGAAAGAGCTTTCAGACTGGTTTGGAATGTACAGCCATTGACTTCAGCTGTTCTCAGAAACAGGCCCACCACTTCCTTGGGAATCATCCACTCTTTGGATGGAGTCAATGCCCACAGAAGGAAATGTCTTTAAATAAGTTAGCTACTTGGACAAGATTATTCACTCCTTAGAAAATACAGTAAGATAACAAGTCCCAGTTGGTGGGGTAGGTGGTACAGCACCAGTTTCACAGAGAGCTTATGGGATCCTAGGGTCAGCAGCTGTTGGCATATGGCACACACAAAAAAGCACTCCCCAGAAGTGGGAAGAGTGTGGGAGGGCAGGGAGCCTCTCCCAGTCCCACCCAGCCTGTTAACTTGCTAACAGCAGAGGCTGTGTTCTGCAGTATCTTCGGGAGAACATTTGCAACAGTTAAAAAACAAAACCAAACCCCCCAGGATTATTCCCCCAGAAAGTCCATGTATGCAAAGAAAAAGGGACCTAGTCAGGGTTCCCACGGGGGACTCCGCCTCCCATCCACTTCTGTTTCCACGTGATATAAGACATCAGCCAGAGTGTGTTCTACCACGGCACCCCAGCCCATGTCACTCATCTGTGGGAGGAGGAAGAAACAGAAATGAGCGATGAGCACAACTATGGCAAGAAGTAACCAAGACACTGGGGATGCGCGGGGACACTTTGAATGTTACTCACAGGGTGGTAAGTAAGATCCTTTGGAGGATACTTGAAGCACGGTCCAAAGTTAATGGAAACCTGGGATAAATTCAGTTCAAGCAGACATGAAGAAACAGAAAAAAACAGTAAAAAAATTAACGTGATATGGGAAACTTTTCTCTTTAAATATAGCTGTGAAATTCAGGATATAACTGGAAAAAGTGATATATATTAATATCGTTAAAAGTCAACACTCTAATGTCCATCAAGAATTAAGCAAATAAAATAGACTTGTGTTGATTTCTGTTTATAACCTAAAGATTTCCTTATTTTAGTTTGATGGTGGTTTTTTTGGTTTTTTTTTGAGGAAGATTAGTCCTGAGCTAACATCTGCTGCCAATCCTCCTCTTTTTGCTGAGGAAGACTGGCCCTGAGCTAACATTTGTGCTCATCTTCCTCTATTTTATATGTGGGACGCCTACCACAGCACCGCTTGCCAAGCGGTGCCACCTTCGCACCCAGGATCCGAACCAGCGAACCCTGGGCTGCTGAAGCGGAACATGTGAACTTTACCGCTGTGCCACTGGGCTGGCCCTGATGGTGGCTAGTGAGAGACTAAAAATATATGGAAACTTTGTTCTTTTTTTTACTAACTTTCAAAAAAAAACTAACAGGCTCTAATGATCATTCCCTTCATGCTGGATTGTATTTTTTAAAAAAATCATTATAAGCAACAGTTACTAAGTAATGATGGTAGATTATCATGATCTATAACACCAAACTGATTTATGCAAGTATATACTTTACGTCCCTCACGTTGAACAACATTTACCACACAGGACATGCAAAGGAAAAGTGTGGGGCACACTAATTGCATGATCTTAATCTATCCAAGCAAATACTTCCTACAACACCCAACTGTTTTTGGAACAAAAATAACAGTAGGAACACGTTCCCATCTCTCTGAGGCTATTCAGATTTCTTTCCAGAACTCAATCAGGGCCCTTTCGTCATAAGCATTCACCTATTTCCCTCAAGTTCTGTTCACAGGATGAACAGATGCTACATACCGTGCAGCTCTTGTACAGGGAGATGGCTGGAAAGTAAACTCCCTCAAAGATATCTTTGTAAGCCACACCTTGATTGACACCATTTTTATAAAATATTATCTGAAACAAAAACCATGGTTTTACTTCAGAATTTAAAAACAGAACAAATTACAAAAGGACTCACTTAGAGAAGGCCTTGGAAGTGCTGCCCCCATGCTGGTAATAATGGGTTCCAAGAACAGCACACAGCTAGTGCAGTAACGATACCGTACATCTGTATCACACTTGAGATTATTCAGAGCATATTTCCATGCACTATTCTAGTTGCTCTTCAGGTTTACTTGCTTTCTGAATTCCTACACTACTTACACCAAACAGGTCTATTTTCTATTATCATTGTATTTATAAAAAGTAATCCAATCTTCCACTGATTCCTTGGAACTATACTCTTCTAAGCTTTATTTATTTATTTGCCCCCTTCCCTTGCATGAGGTTCTCACTTCTGCATTTCTACTCTGAAAATCTCTTAGGATCTTCTGTCAAAATCTCTGAATCCTCATTTTCTGTCCTTCCTCTCTCAAAACTATCCTGAATATTCTCTCTTAACTACTATATATAGACTTCAGAAAAGGCTCCTTTTAATAAACTAACTTTCTCTGCCTCTTCTTCCCAGTAGGAACTATCTTCATCCTGGCTATATTTTCTGGCTGTTATCATCCTTGGATCTATTAACTGTTACCTTTACTATTTTCCTCCTAAACACAACTGGAACCCTAGTTTATTTCTCCTACATTCACTTCCACTACTGTCCCAGGAGGATTCACAGTATTTTTATGGAAAAACGTTTCCAGCTCAGAACTTTTCTCCATCCCTTCCCCTTCTATTTTGGGCCCTTGTGGCTGATCCAAATGTGCCAGCTCTTCTTTGATTGTGCGATGTCCAACAACCCTGGAAGAGAGGTAGGGAAAGTTCTAGAGGACACTCAATGAGCCATTACAGCTCCTGCTGCCTCTGGTCACACAGCAAGGTCCCCTCCTCTGCTATTCCAGTGTTGCTCCCTCTTTACATGATGCCTCCTCTGAGAAAGAATAAATCTCTCTGACTTGCCTCCTCAGTTGCTTACAGGTTTCCTTATTAGGCCATGGTTTTTACCCTTTTGTCTACAGAGTGCTCCTGAAAGCACCCCGGTCCTCCCTCTTAAGCAGCAGCGTGGGACCACGGAAAGAGCACAGCACAGAAGGCGGGGGAGTGAGCTTGCTCTGCGGCTGGCTAGCTGGGTTAGCAAAAAACCCCTTCATTCCCCTTTGGGCCTCATTTTCCTTACTTTTGTAATTAGGTGCTTGGTGCCAATCTTCAAAGTCTTCTAGTTCTGACATTTTTATGACCACGACTCACCTCACTATGAGGAGTCTGCTTTAGGCTCTTCTCTGCTTTATCCACAAAGTCTTTTTCCTCAAAATACAAATAACTCTTGAACTTTATCAAAGCCTTAAAAACCGAGCAAGAAAGAAAGGAAAAAAATTGAAGCATCAGCTACATCATGGAAAAAATAGTCAGATTCACACAAATAGCACTGAGTCCTTCTGTTCTGCAACAGAGATTTCAAATCTTTAGTTAGTTTTATTAGACTTTGAACAACTATGTGCTTCTTAAAAAGTACCAGATGCTACATGTTTGTTAAACATTTTCAAAAAAGGCCTTTACTAAGAATATTTGTGAGGAAACATATATATAAATACATATACATTCTTACCACAGCAAAAACTCATAAAAGTGGCTAAACTTAATTCATAGTTTTTTTCCCCTCAATAATCTCAGTGAAAGCAATGACAAGTTTACTGAGCCTAAAATCCCCTATTCTATAAAAATATTTTGAGGGCTACTTCCTTCCCTCCTAGTTCTCTACTTGTTTCTCTTACAGGTTGTCTCTGAGTCACCCCTTTCTTGCTTGTTCCCAAGAGTCTGTTTAACCATTCATCCCCAGATAAATATATGACATTAATTTTTTTAAATTTGAATTTCTTAGCACATACATTTATTAAGCATGGTAAGAAAAAAAAGTCAGGGACTGGCCCGCTGGCGTAGTCGTTAAGTTCACATGCTCTGCTTCAGCAGCCTGGGGTTCGCAAGTTCGGATCCCAGGTGCAGATCTAGCACTGCTTGTCAAGCCACACTGTGGTGGGATCCCACATAAAACAGAGGAAGACTGGCACAGACGTTAGCTCATCAACGATCTTCCTCACAAAAAGTGAAAACAAATGCTATACAAGAACATAAAGAGTCTCTCTCCTGTCACCATATCCCTCAACGCTCAGTTTCCTTTTGCAATCACTGTTCTGTGTCCTGGTATCCTTCCAGAAAGTCTAGGCATATATTAAATCTTCAAAATTGAAAAACATACACAAAGAAAAAAAACACACCAGACAAAAAACACAAAGAAACAAGCAAAAAAGGCATACAAGTGGTAGCATACCACACATTCTGTTTTACATCTTGAGTTTTTCACTCAACAATATACACTGGAGATCATTTTATATCATTAAATATGTGGCTTTTGAACAGATTCATATTATTCTGTTGTATGAACATATTCATAAATTGCTTATTAAATTGAAAACAAATTTTTATAATATAAATGAAAAAGGAAATAATCTTAAACATTCCTACAGTATCCTCTGAGGTAACTGTAGACCTCTGTTTCTGATAAGAACAGGCATTAGTGTGGTATACATTAAAGGATTCTAGATGGCAGGAGGAGCAATGAAATGGGATCTTAGGCTGCTTTTTATCAGCACAAACTTGGAGGACATACGCTATCCAATTTAAAAAAAAATTAACATTGACCCCTACTTCACACCATACACAAAAATTAATCCAAGTGAATCAGAGACCTAAATATAAAAACTAAAACCATAATATTTTTGAAGAAAAACATGGGAGAATATCTTTATGACTTGGAGGTATGCAAAGATTTATTAACTCATAAAAAGCAATATTAACTGAAAAAGAAAAATTTTGTAGCATTCATAAAAACTAAAAACTTCAGTTCACCAGAAGACATCACTAAGAAAATGAATAGAAAAGTCAGAGACAAGGAGAAAAAAATATATATATTTTTTTGGTGAGGAAGATAGGCCCTGAGCTAACATCTGTGCCCATCTTCTTCTATTTTGTATGTGGGACGCCGCCACAGCATGGCTTGATGAGTGGTATGTAGGTCTGTGCCTGGGATCCAAACCTGTGAGCCCCGGGTCGCCAAAGCAGCGCACACTAACTTAACCATGACACCACCAGGCTGGCCCTGAAACAAAGATTTTTTTAAAAGCCATTTCTAACAAAGGACTTTAATCCAGAATATACAAAGAAGTCCTAAAACTCAATAAGAAGATAACCCAATTTTTTAAAAAGGTAAAATAATTGAGTAGAAAATTCACAAAAGAAGAGCTACAAATTGCCAACGAGCACATGAAAAACTGCTCAGTACCATTAGTCATCAAAGAAATGCTAATTTTAACCATAAGGAGATACTACTACACACCCATCAAAATGGTTAAAACTAAGGTGACAGACAACAACAAATGATGACAAGGACATGGAGTAACTAAAATTCTCCTACACTGTTGGTAGGAATGGAAAGAGTTTGGCAATTTCTTAGAAGACTAAATACATAACTACCCTATGACCCAGTAATTCCATTTCTAGGTACTGACCCAAAAGAAACAAAAACACATTTACAAGGAGATTTGTAGAGGACTGTTCAAAGCAACTCCATTGCTTTATCCCAGCCTCGAAACAGCCCAAATGTCCGTCAAGAGGAAAACGGACAGCTATGTGTCAATAAAGCTGGAAAAAGAAAGGAAAATGGATAAACACACTATGGTATAATCACACGAGGGAATACTACTCTGTAGTAAAAAGGAACAAACTACAGATACGTGCAAGAACATGGTAGGATCTCAAAAGCATGATGCCAAACGATAAAAGCCAGATACGAAAGGCTACACATTGCATGGTTCCACCTGTGTAAATCCAAGAACAAGCAAACTAATGGACTGGAATTATCATGGGGGGAAAAATTCAAAACAGTGGTTGCCTCTATGGGGGTGGGAGTGGGACTGACTGAGAAAGAGTATAAGGGAATTCCTGGGTAGTAAGATTCTACATCTCAATAGCAGTTTGGATCAAACTCAAAACTCAGTGAATATACACTTAAAATTTGTAAATTTCATTTTATGTAAATTTTATATCAAAAGAAAAAAGTAAACAAAGGTTGAACTCCAGCTAATGATATGTATCCTGAAGTACTTGGCGGGTAGTGTACTGATGGCTGCAGTATTCTCTGAAGTGCATTAAAAAAGAAGAATGGATCGATGGATGGATGGATAGATGAGTGGAGGGATGAACAGATAACATGTTAATGGTAGAATCTAAGTGATGGGTGTTTGGACACTTTTAAATGCTGTCAACTTTGCTGTCTGAAAATTTTCATAACAAAATGTTGGGAAAAATGTGAATGGTGGTCAGCATCACAAGAGAACATACAGGCCACAGGTGCAGGCCTTGGCTGCCTCAGATCTCCAACCCAGGACTTGCTCGGGAGCACAAACTCACCTTATCTTTATAAGTATCGGGCAGTGACTTGGCTGTCTCTGTGTCTTCAGGAAGATTGATATAAAACCCCAGGACGTCTCCCTGTCCATAGCCAGAAGAGTAGTGTTTGCCAATGGACTGGTGGAACTTGGTTCCCTTTTTGCTCCGCCAAGAATAGCTAAATTTATCATAACCTAAGGGAGCTTGAAGGTTACCTGTCCCAATAGAAAGATATACAGGAAATCAGAGGACTGCAGGTCAACTCTGGATTGCAGAGGAAAAGATTCTACTCCTTTTTCTTTGTTTTTTCTTTTTTGTCAATTTTGTAAAATTGCTAACAAACTAGTTCTCACAAACAAAGAATTATAAAAATATTCCTAGGAATTACAAGCCACCTAAACCCTCAGGAATTGAATTTTATGCCCACAATCCAATAAGCCCCAAGGTCATGAAGCTTAGCCAGATGTTCTACACCTCTCCACCCACTGCAATGGCCACGTTACAGCTCCAGCTTACCTAATGGCTGGGACCAACCCAGTCTGGCAGCAGTGTCCGGCGGCATCTCATCCACCGTGATTTCAAAGTACCAGGCACCTTTCCGTACCCCATGAGAAGCCCGAACCATGGAGTAGCCCTTCTCTCCAACCACAGTCAGCCGGTCATCAGAGATCTTCAACTGGGGAGCTGTGGTGATGGAGATTAAAACAAAGGCCTGCAACCTATTTGAGGTACTTGGAGACAACTGTCACAAAACTGTGAGTCTCTTACACTCCAATAAAACAAAACAAAAAATCAGAAATATCAGGTGACGAACTTGAAATATTGTTTCAGGAGTTTAAAAATCTCAAACATAAGATGCAGACGAAGGAGAAAGAAAGAAAAAGGAAGAAAGCTGTTAGGTAATCTAGTTTTTACTAAATGTGATTATATTTAAGATGACAGGTTAAAACTAATTATACTGTCTATTCCCTCAAATGCGATAAAACGACTGTAATGTGTTCGGATCCTGATTTGAATAAACCATCCCTTAAAAGACTTAACTTTTTATTTGAAACACTCCCAGACTTTCAAAAACAGTGGAGTCCTCATATGTCCACCAGTTAGCTTCCCCAAATGTTAATACCATCCATACCCACAATACAATTAGCAAAACCAGAAAATTAACACTGATACAATACTATTAACTAATATAGATCATCTGCAAATTAAGCCAAATATTCAAATAATATTCTTTTTCTGTTCCAGGATCTAATCCAAGATCCCACATTTCATTTAGTTGTCGTATGTCCTTAGTCTTTTCCAATCTGGGACAGCTCCTCAAGTCTTTCATGATCCCAACACTTTGAAGGGTACTGGTCACTTCAGTTTGTAGAATATCTCTTAATCAGGTTGTCTGATGTTTCCTCCTGGCTAAGTGCAGGTTATGCTTTTCTGTTGGAAACACCACTGAAGCAACGCTGGGCCTCCTAAGTGTATCACATCATAGAGCACATGATGTCAAAATGGTAAGGTTAAACTTGGACCGCCCGGTTAGGGTGCTGCCTTCTACATTTCTCCGTTATAAAATTAGTATTTTCCCTTTGTAATTAGTAAGTATTTTGTGGGGAGATAAAATATGTGAGACAATCAAGGAAATCTGATTATGGACTAAAATGAGATGATAGTAAGGAATTACCTATTTTGTTAAGTGTGATAATAGCATTGTGGTTATAAAATAAAATAACCACACTTTTTAGAGATACATATTTTTTAGAGTATATAGAGTGAGATTTACTTCTTAAAAATTCAGAAAAGAAACAAAGAAATAAAGGAACAGATAAAGCAAATATGGCAAAATCTTGATAATTGTTAAATCTAGGTGAAAAGTATATGCAGATTCATTGTATTCATCTCTCTACCTTTGCGTACTTTACTATAAGGCCATTATGTAAGATAAGGGGACAATCTAAACCAATTGGAAGGGATATTGTGACTTGGAAGTGAAGAAAAAAATGATGACAGGTGGGAGAGTATTTCTAGGCTGTGCAGGCTGATTTTATCAACATAGAAACATCTCCAATCCCACTAACTGAGGAAAAAGCATCTGATACAGTGTTTGTAACACTCTGGAAGTTGTCTAAATTCTACTGGAAGAAGCACAAACTTTATAAATGCATAAAGATACATGTACCCCTATGTTCACTGCAGCATTATTCACAATAGCCAAGACTTGGAAGCAACCTAGGTGCCCATCAAGGGTCAAATGGATAAGGGAGATGTGGTATATATACACAATGGAATACTACTTGGCTATTAAAAAAGATGAAATCTTGCCATTTGTGACAACATGGATGGATTGTGAGGATACCATGCTAAATGAAATAAGTCAGACGGAGACAGTCAAATACTGTATGATTTCACTTATAAGTAGAAGATAAAACAACAACAAACAAACACATAAATACAGAGATTAGATTGGTGGTTATCGGGGAGAAGAGGGGAGGGGGAAAGGGGTGACAGGGCTCATATGTATGGCGATGGATGGTAATTAGTCTCTGGGTGGTGAACGTGATGTGGTTTACACAGAAATCGAAATATAATGATGTACACCTGAAATTTATATAATGTTATAAATCAATGTTACCTTAATAAAAAAAAAATTAGGGACTGGCCCTGTGGCCGAGTGGTTAAGTTCGTGCGCTCTGCTTTGGTGGCCCAGGGTTTCACCGGTTCGGATCTGGGCGCGGACCTGGCACTGCTTGTCAGGCCACGCTGAGGAAGCATCCCACATGCCACAACTAGAGGGACCCACAACTAAAATATGCAACTGTGTACTGGAGGGATTTGGGGAGAAAAAGCAAAAAAGAAGCAAAAAAAAAAATAGATTGGCAACAGTTGTTAGCTCAGGTGCCAATCTTTAAAAAAAAAATTATCTTTTATAAAAGGCTTTACGATTTACAAAGTACTTTCACAGGTAGCTAGGTGGACAGAGAAACTCGCCTAACCCTCCCCAGCACCGTCTCCACTGCGCAGATGGAGAAGCAGATCAGGAGGCTGTCAAGATCACGCTGCACTGAGTGGCAGAGGCTGACTGGAACCTTGGCCCTGCACTCCTTCTGTTACACCATAGGGGCTCTTACAAAGATTACCTCCTTCAAGTAAATGCATGTTGTTTAACAGAACTTTCTTAGGTCTGTGGCAAATTCTACATTCTCAAATACAAAGACTTCTTCCTTTATCCCCTCCTGAGCAATTCCGTCCTCAAGTCATCAGGTGGGGCTGAGCAAGTCAAGTATCCGTGATAAAATAGGATATTAAACGGTTCACCTCCTCACAAAACACTAATCACAAAAAGGGAAAAAGAAGTAACTCACAGTGGATAAACTTGGCAGATACCACCTTAGCCAAATGATCGAAGTGAACATCTCCAGTAATGGGACCAGTTAAGATCATGTCCCACCTGACAGGATACAATATGAAGAACACAGTACCATTTTTGTGATATTCCTGTCAAAGATGCATAACTTGAATCCAATCATGAAGAACCAGACAAACCCAACCTGAGGGATGGTCTATGAACTAATTGGCCTCTAACTTTCAAAAGTGTCAAGGTCATCAAAATCTAGGAAAGATGGAGAAATTGTTCCAGATTGAAGATGACTTATGAGACATAACAATTAAATGCAGCATGTGATTCTCAACTGGATCCTTTGCTATAAGGACATTACTGGATCAACTGGAGAAACCTGAATAAGATCCGAGGGTCAGATGGTAGTAATTAGATATTAATTTCCTGATTCTGATGGTTATATATTGGTTCTGTGAGAATGTGAAAATTTAAAAACTATCCACTAATTCTTTGATAGTCTTCCTTTCAAGAGGTGAAGCCTAATTTCCCTATGCTTGAGCATGGGCTGAACTTAGTGACTCACTCTAACAAAGTTGAAGCAACTGTCTAACTTTAAAAATAGGTCAGGGGCTGGCCTGGTGGCACAGCGGTTAAGTTCGCACGTTCTGCTTCTTGGCGGCCCAGGGTTCGCTGGTTCGGATCCTGGGTGCGGACATGGCGCCACTTGGCACACCATGCTGTGGTAGGCATCCCACATATAAAGTAGAGGAAGACGGGCACAGATGTTAGCTCAGGGCCAAGCTTCCTCAGCAAAAAAGAGGAGGACCAGCAGTAGTTAGCTCAGGGCTAATCGTCCTCACAAAAAAAGATCAAAAAAGGGGCCAGCCTGGTGACATAGTAGTTAAGTTCACATGCTCTGCTTCAGTGGCCCAGGATTCACAGGTTCAGATCCCCAGTGCGGACCTACACACCACTCATCAAGCCATGCTGTGGTGGTATCCCACATACAAAACAGAGGAAGACTGGCACAGATGTTACCTCAGCCACAATCTTCCTCAAGCAAAAAGAGGAAGACTGGCAACAGATGTTAGCTCAGAGCCACTCTTCCTGACCAAAAAAAAAAAAAAAAGTACTCAAACTCCTTATTGCTCTCTCTTGGATCACTTTCTCTGGGAGAAATTAGCTTCACGGGGAGAAATAAGCAGTCTTTGGAGAGGCCCACATAGCGGGCATCCTGTCAAAGCCAAGTGAGTGAGCCATCTTGGAAACAGACCCTCCAGCCCCTGTCAAGTCTTCAGAGACAGTAGCCCCAGCTAAGAGCTAGACTGAAATCTTGTGAGTTTTCCTGAGCCAGACCACATAGCTAAGCAGCTCCCAGATGGACCCCAGAAACTGTGGGAAATAACTAACATTTGTAGTTTTAGACTGCTAAGTTTTACGGTAATTTGTTGCACAGCACTAGATAACTAACACAAGGAGAATGTCCTTGTTTGTAAGAAACAGACAATTGGAAGTTCTCAAAGGGGAGAAGGTGCCATGCCAGCTTTCTCTGAAATGGTTCAGAAAAAAAAAGTTTTGTACTGTTCTGACAAGTTTTTTATAAGTCTGAGAATAATTCAACCTAAGAAGTTTGAACAATACATTATAGATTCATTGTTAATTTTTAGAAGGTTCAGCATAAACAGCAGGCAGCTATTGCTATCCTACGTATTAAGTTAAACAAGTTCTGCTAAGGGCCAGTGTTCTCATTTTCTGTTCCTTCCAGAATTATAGCTATTATGTGTACTGGAACAACAGCGCTAAGTCTTACTTCTGAAACCCTGAAGTCACTTACCTGGCCCTTCCCTACTATCATAGTATGCTTGTCACTAATAGGAGTCAAATCCATACATAATGGACACTGCACCACGGGATTACATTACTTGACTTCCAAATGACTAGCATCAATACAAATGTTACAGTTTTTGGCATTAAATCAAGAAATAATGGGCTTCCAAATCTATTAAACACATGGACCCGTTTAGATCCAGTTCAAAGAAATAGCTGAAAGAGGCATATTTTAAACACCCTTGGAAATGTGAGTATGGTCTGGGTATTAGATAACTGAGGAATTATTATTCACCTCAGGTATGATAATGGCATAGTGGTTATGTTTTTAAAAATCTTTGTTAGAGATAAATACTGAGGTATTTATGGGTGAAGTAATATGCTATCTGGAATTTGCATTAATACTCCAGAAAAACAACAAAAATTCATGAGGTACACTTGTCTAAAAGTAACTGGCTTATTTAAATCCCCCTTCACATTCTTTTTTTTTTTTTGAGGAAGATTAGCCCTGAGCTAACTGCTGCCAATCCTCCTCTTTTTGCTGAGGAAGACTGGCCCTGAGCTAATGTCTGTGCCCATCTTCCTCTACTTTATATACGGGACGCCTACCACAGCATGGCCTGGCAAGCAGTGACATGTTCACACCTGGGATCCAAACAGGCGAACCCCAGGCTGCTAAAGCGGAATGTGCGCACCCAACCGCCACACCACCAGGCCGGCCCCCCCTTCACATTCTAAAAGATAATGAATGCTATTTTGTCAATAATTGAATAAAGTATGTCATTAAAAGAACTACTATACATTAAAAAGACTTCAGTATGACAAAAAAGAGTCACAAACTCAAAAGACAACCGACAAAATGGCTAATATCCCTACTATATAAAGGGACGAAGGACCAAAATCCTAATAGAAAAATGGGAAGTAGAACCACACTAACAGATAATTCCTAAGAACCCCAAGTGGCAGACAAACACGAACAGACAAACCTAACTGTATTACAAACGAAAACATAACCACACTGAAGGAGGCGGGAAGAAGCAACTAACCTGAGTTAACGGTGTCTGTCTTGATGGGGAAACCGGCAGGCTATAGACCAAAAGAGCTGCTGCCATCTAGTCAGTGAATGCTCCTCACGGGGTTGGCAATTCTGAAACTACTTTATGTGCATATTAGGAATGATCAATAAGTAAATATACGGTAGATAACTATAGTCAGTTTTCTCACTGTTGGAGAAAGAAGTTACAAATAAGGAAAGGTGTGGTGTCTGACTGGACTCCAAGGTATCAGTGTCAATTCAGCACAGCCGTGTACAGGTGTGTCAGTCAGTAGACACACATACACCTCCTACCTCTGTCCACTGAGGGAGTCTAGAAGCCACACCCAGTAACAGTAATAGTGAGCACAGCTATGCTTAGACCTTAATTTCTAAACACCATTCTCTAACTAAAGGAAGCAGGGCTCCTCAGAAATAGCTGATTTTTGGCCTGAAGCATGGAAAACACAAGATGAGCCAGGAACATCTTGTGATGCCAGAAAGTAAGGAAGTATTTAAGAAAAAAAAAAAAAAGGTGGGGCTTATTGAAAGAACACAGGAACCAACCTAAAGAAGCTAATGGCATAATGGCCAAAGCTGGAATAATTTGAGCAATAAAATAAATTCTATCCCACAGAATAAATATCTATGAGTCCACACTGATATAAATAATCGATTAAATAATAAATGGAGAAGGGAAGAAAGAAAAAGAAATCGTCAGGCCAACATCACGTCAATAATTCTTGCAGACAAGATCCACTGATGGGTGCCAAAATTAGTGAGCAAAACTTAATAGAGAAACAGGACATTTGCATAAAAGCCTCAAAGTATCTTTCCCCAAGATATTTACTGACTATGAAGGGAAAGACAGTAAGAAAGCCAGCAGAAACTACCTCAGCCAAATGATCATAGTTAAAATAACCAATAAAGACACATTGACATCATGAACCCTATGAGATGATGCAATAAGGGCTTATTTCTGTGGTGTTCTTCCAAAAAATGTATAACCTCAGTCTAATCATGAGAAAAAGTCAGACAAACCCTCACCGAGAAATATCTGACAAAATAACTGATTAATACACTTAAAAGTGTCATGGTTATGAAAGACAAGCGATGACTCAAGAACTGTTAAAGACTGCACGAGACTAAGAGGAAATAACTAAACGCAATGTGAGCGCCTAAACAAGAGGCATTAGTGGAAAAATTGGTGAAATTCAAATAAAGTCTTTAATTTTATTAATAGCATTTACCAATGTTAATTTCTTGGTTTGAAAATTGTACTACGGTTGTATAAGATGTTACCACTAGGAAAAGCTTGATGAGAGAGATACGGAAACTATTATTCTTGCAACTTTACTGGTAAGTTTAAACTTAGTCCAAAATAGAAAGTTTTAAGAACCATATATATAAAAATGGCTAGAGCTTATAGGAAGAGACAAAGAAGGAAATTATTTCTTGTACATTCTGACAGTCTACTTAGACATGGGCGGTGGGGGAGTGGTAATGGACTGGCACGTACATCTAATTCTAGACTGGACAAAGATGATGACAGTTCAAAGTAACACCAGGTCTGACACGACATTAACACCGTACATACCTCGATCATGTAGGGCTAACAAAACCCGTTCATACAAGCAGGCTCTGTAGAGGTCTCCAGGAATAGGTTTTCCAGCCCAGCAGTCAAGTTCAAGCTTCTCAGGATCAGGGGCGTGGGGATCAGGCTCAGCGAGAATATATCGATAGCCATCTTTATTAAACGGGTGTTCCAAGGGGTAACCGTGAGGGGGAAGGCGCTGAGCAGAAAACAAAGGGTCACTGCAGAAAGGAAAAAATAAAATCAAGAAACTAAACCCCCTCTAGCTCAACTGCCTTCAACTCTGTAAGAAAGCCCTCTGATTTACTACGCTTTGGCCAGAACACAGACAACTTCACAACTGCTTTTCATTACTCAAATAGGCCATCCTGCCCTCTGCAGGCAAAAAAGGATAAATTACTTTAGTCCATAGGGACATCTATGAAACTGAGCTAGTACATCATTGGGAAGAAGGGAGAAGAGAAACAAGGGTGATTTCCTTTAGTATATTTATTATTAAAACATATGAACAGAAACTCAGGGATATGAGCACTTACTGTCTGTTGCCCGTCTAAATAAGAAATGCCCTGGATTTCATCACCTCCGTATTGAAAAGGAAGGGAAGAGGTACCAGAGGCGAGAGGTGGAAAGTTTAAGTAAAAGAGGTAACGCTCAACATTGGTTTCACTCCCTCTCCCCATACTATCCTTTCTCAAGGTGCCTTCACAGAACTTTACTCCCCAGGTGAATCCCCACAGGCTGCTGCCCTAGGGCTGTTTTATGTAGTAACAAGTTTGTGAAACAGACACCGAGCCAAGGGGTTATTTTACCCCTCAAAGCACACAAGATTTGAGAAAAACGACCAGGCTTTGTAACCTCAGACACCTGAGCTACTGAAGAGTAGGGCTCTTTTCCCTCTCACAGACTTTGCCAGCCAAGAAACCTCTAACAGTGGTAAGTGGGGGTGGGTGTTCTGCCCACCTCCGGGCCTTCTTGGTGGTCCCTGTGGTTCCTCCATCCTGCTGTTTGCGCTTAGCTCCTCTTCCTTTTCCACTGCTTCCTGCTGCAATCCCCCCTTTGAAGAGAAGGCAGATCACTTTCAATGAGCTGTCACAGAAGCACCATGTGGAGCCTGAAATTCCATGGGGACTAACACTCCCAACGTGCATTTGTGTAACACCATAGGAGGATTTCCTTCCTGAAAGCATACTGGATTTCACCCTGGTTCTGAATGAGTCTGCTGAGTGTCTCGCAGCCCAGAACACTGGGTTCTGGCAGTAAGCTCAAATGAACCTTGCCCTAACGATCCCTGTGTTACATTTGCAACCTTCCTTTCTTAATGAACTGCACTACCAGTACATTTTCTGAGGATGTGACACAAATGCATTCTCACTCATTCAGATTCCAAACATCCATGGCTACAAACAATTGCATGGATAAAGTTTTCTTCCACCCAAATCAATACAAACATCCATAAAGAGAGAATATCCTCACTGTGAGTAGATGTTCATTTGCTTGAACTACACACAATATATTCCATAGAGTAAAGGCACAATATCTGCTAAAGCACTGAACTGGAATATCCAACAAGACAACAGTGCGTCAAACATGGAAAACAAAAACAGAAGTACTCAAAAGGTGTTTCTCTCCAGTGCTGTGGTTGCGCATGACATAAGTAAGAAAGAGGGCTTTAAATTTAGTAGGTAATTTTCACAACAATGATTAAGATTGTGCCAATGCATAAAATTCAGGTTAGACTAACCTGGCTTGTGAAATTAAGAGCAAATATCAATAGACAATTTATATGTTATACACAAAAAAATTTAGCTACACGCTAAGGCCACAAGGAATACTACCTCGTGTATTTCTGAAATAGGTACTTTGAAATTTTTGTCCGGTTCTGTCATTCCTCTCAATTAGTTTGTTTTTTGGTCTTCTAGAAAATGTCCCTGAACTGCAGGAAAACACCTTTACGTAAACAACTGCATAGAGTACTGTATCTTAATTTGGGGCAAGCTTGAAAATTATCAGCAGTTCTGCTGCAATAAAAAGGATCAAGACGTTGAGGGCAGGTCATATACTGCACAGACAAGACCAGATATATGCAGAACTTCCTTTTATGAACACATCAGGTGTTATTCCTATTTCTCATAAAAGGTTTAATGTTAAACTATTACAATATCAACATCTCTAGTTTAAGTTACTAAATCAAAAAACCATTAATGTTTTTAATTGTCATTTATATTTTAACTATTTTAAGAGAAGTTTTAGATCCATCTTGAACAAAACAATCAATACTAAGAGGACTGCTGGCCGTGTTAGGCAGAATATGACGACATATAAGCTTTGAATTACTAACATTAAACTGGAACTACTGTTTTATATTAAGTGCTATTGCCACCATTTTCACAATGCTTTAAAATTTTAATTCAGTTTTAGCTTCTACCACAACTCAGCAAAAAGCATTTTCCAAACCACAAAATACTTAAGTCTGAGAGGCTGAAAGAAGACAGAGGAGGAATTCACCTCCAAAAGAGGCTCCACCTGTAAGAACAGAAGTGGCACCATGTATTTGTCAAATTTTAACAATTAAAAGGGAAAAAATGGTGTAAAAAGATAAACAATACACTTAGCTATTTCCAACCCATCCTAGAATATTAATAACAGTGGAAATGATTACATATTTAAGATGCTACCACTCGACAAATTAATGATGCCATGTGTCAGATGAGAAGCTAGCTATCTCCCAAGCTACCCCAAGTCTCATTAGTTTACCATTAGTAGTGAATGGCATTCCTGCTATTAGAAGGGTTACTGACAGAACAACGTGCTACAGCGGGTGATCAATACAGAAATGCTGTCATGTGAATAAGCTGAAGTTTCAGGTCAAGACAAATTAGAAGATGAGTATAGGAAGTTTGTTAAATTACAGCTGAATTAAGGAAAAAGAGTGGAGAGCAACTGAATTCTAAATTAAGTGTTAGTTATGAGGATACAGATGGGGAGACTAACACAAACACAGTAAATCTGACCTTAAAGTTGTACCTTGCTTTATGCTAAATCTGTTTCACTTAAGACCAAATTGTGGTATAAAGTGACAAAAAGTTCTCCACTACCATTTGTCAAATCCGTGGCTAGCTCCTAAAAATTGAGTTTTGGACTTTAAAGCATCTTAGTAAATATCCAGTTAAGAGTCCACCCAAGAAGGCCCAACTCTAGGCACATTTGGATTCAAAAGCTTACAAATCTTTCATCACTGAGACATTTAGACACTTACCATTTAGATTCCCACTGGTAGACACAGCACTGCTTTGTTTTTGGTTGTCATAAGCAGGACCAATGTTACTAAGATCCTAAAGGGAAAAATACTCAATTACAAAGGGAGGCTATATAATCAAACCAATCTGGCAATGCTTGAAAAAACCAGGATAAATGGGAACTGAAACTGACAATCCTAAAGAATCGGAAACTTGCAAGGGTCCCAAAGTGGATGCTTCAGGGATCAGCAAGTAACATGTGTGAGGCAGGACAAGTGTAAGGATCAAAGTGGTTTAAGAATGACGATAAATGGCAATCAACCAGGGGTGAGGGGTCATGGAGGGGACAATAGCAAACGAGAGTACCCAAGTCTCATTTACTCAGCTTCCCGTGGGACTTCAGGCTGTGTACCCAGATCTTGTCATTTCACAAGAAAAAACACAAATCTAAATTTCTATGCGAACTCTTGAGTTTTCTTTCTTTTTTTTTTTAAGGATTTTATTTTTTCCTTTTTCTCCCCACAGCCCCCTGGTACATAGTTGTATATTCTTCGTTGTGGCATGTGGGACACTGCCTCAGCATGGTTTGATGAGCAGTGCTATGTCCGCACCCAGGATTCGAACCAACGAAACACTGGGCCGCCTGCAGCAGAGCGCGCGAACTTAACCACTTGGCCACAGAGCCAGCCCCAACCCTCGAGTTTTCAATGATGACAAATCAAACATTTTAAGGCACAGCTGAAAGATATAACCTCCTGGGATGCCAAAGGTGACCCTGCCATGAATAAAGAGTGGAAATCTTTTTCTTCGTGTTATGCTAGATGCACAACACAGACTCTTCTTCAAAACAAGTTTTTCTTCACAATAATAAATATTTTTAACAACAAAATTTGAGATGGAAAGAAAATTAGAAATAACTTGGAACGGCGTATTTCTGTTACAAGTGAGGAAACTAAAGTTAAAAAAGATAAAAATGATATGCGTAAAGCTAGAACATTTTGGGGAAGAGCCAGAACTAAAACATGAGTCTCTTGGTTTAAGGTGAGTGCTCTTTCTTTCCACATGTAGCAGTAACTGTTTACTGGGAGCCCACCATGTTATGCACATGTAATGGCCGTGTGTTATATGTGACAAATATACAAATGTAAACAAAACCCGATTGACTCCCCGTCCTCAAGTGGCTTGAAATCAAAGGGGAATATAAAGCATATTAATGTACCTGATCCAAAAGTCCAAATTTTGGGTAATCTTCTTCTGGGTCCTTACTCCCAGGATCAGGGTGTTCCTTTACCAAGAATACATCTCTTTCCTTACTCTAAAAGGAAACAGTATTTTAGTATTACTGGAAATTTTATACCTAAAGAAGTACTGAATGGATGATCAATCACCAACTCTTAATTCCTAGGTGTAACCTCCAAAAAAGACAGTATTATTTTTCCCTTTGATGAGAAAATTAATACATGACCATCAAAAAATCCACACAGAGAAACTTAAGCAAGTGAGAACCAAAGTCCTTCATGATCCTCACCTAACCCCTGACCTCCCAGAGATAAGCACTGTTAACAGCTTGCTGCTGACTTTTCCACAGGTGCTCTCTTTAATTCTAAGGACAACAATGTTTAGAACAGTGTTATTTGGTTTTGTTTTGTTTTTTCAAATCAAATTAAAAAATTGTCTCCAATTTCAATATAAAATTATACTTGGAAAAGTGCAGTGGACAAAGGTTTCAGTGTCATATATAAAACTACCATGGGTGATGTTCACTTAAGACAATGTGCAATTTACTAATTTTGTTGTGTGAAAACTATTAAAATTCACAATTAGCTACGTTTCACTCTCCAAGATTTAATACTAAGTTGTTCTCATTTTCTTAGTCACCACATTATTTCAGTGAGACTAAACAGAATTTAATTTTTACAAAGAACACCGGCTTTCTAAAGGTCAAGTCTAATCAATTTTAGTCTACTTACCATCGTTTTAACAATGTTATTTGGCCAAGTCATTTTTCCAGGTCTCTGTCTGGTCGTCATGCACTCCCAGTATTTATCAATAAATGGTATGATATCCTAATTTTTAAAATAAAATATATTAAGACTTTTATAGTTGCTTTCAAAGTTATGTTCACAAAAAGGGACAGGAAACTTCAGCATTTTCAAAGACCTTGTCAGAATCAAAAGAAAATCCATGCTTAATCTTTTAATGATTAAAAACAATTGCATGCAAACAACATAAAGATTGTGGGGAATTTCGAACAATTATATACAAATCTTAGCCATCCAGCTGGAGGGAAAAGGTCTGCCCCATTCTCCCTTTTTTTTCTTTTTTGAGGAAGATTAGCCCTGAGCTAACTGCTGCCAATCCTCCTCTTTTTGCTGAGGAAGACTGGCCCTGAGCTAACATCTGTGCCCATCTTCCTCTACTTTATACGTGGGACACCTGCCACAGCATGGCTTGATAAGCCGTGCCATGTCCACACCCAGGATCCAAACCAGCGAACCCCAGGCCACCAAAGTGGAATGTGCACACTTAACTGCTGGGCCACCGGGCCGGCCCCTGCCTCATTGTCTTAGTTGCATCTGGAAGATGCTCCCAAATTATTCTCTCTCCTGAGCTCCTGTTTGTACCTGCTTGAGACATCTCCATCTGGACATCCTACAGGCACTTCAAATGTCTTATGACTAAAACGGAACTCTGTATCTTCCCTCACAAATCTGCTCTGCAGACTTCTATTCTTGCTCTTAAAACTCAGAATCACCCATCACCAGAATCATAAGATAAGACACCATGGGATCATCCTTGATTCTTCTTATACAAACTTTACATCTATCCAGTCACCAAATGAATTTTACTATTTCAGAAAGCTCTCACCGGTCTGGCCTCCTTTCCATCCCCACTGCTTTGACTGCGGTCCTCGCCAGTTCTTACTGGCATGGCTAAAACAATGCATGAGCTTGAACTGGCATCAACTTTCCCCTTTCTACACAATTCTTCCACAGTTCACCAGAGGTAGTTCCATGAAAACCAAATCTTTACTAAAAGGAACCAGGGGTGAACCAGAGAAAGTACAAGGGCATCCTGGAATATTCTCTTGTTCCGGAAAGTAAGGAAAAGTTCAAAAACTGATAGGCACATATCAGAAAGTTCCAGGAGTGAGTCCGGATGAGGCTACACTGGTCAAATCTCAGCATCAGAAATCCAGTGGTGGACCATAAAAATCCAAAAATCCACAGCGATAATTTAAAAAAAGAAAGAAAGAAAGAAAAGACGGGAGGAAAGGAAAACTCTGCAGAGAACTGCAAGCAATAAATGTATTCTGTTCTACACTGACCACTCTATTAACCAATGCAGGCTAGACAATCAGTGGTTGCTAACACCACTGCTTGAAAGGGTTACAAAACAAGACATTCACACAATCTCAATGTATCCTGCCACAGATTACATAATAATTACAAAAGCAGAAAGATCTCTTTACAGTGGAGAAATCTGGCTGATACCTCCTCTTTACCCAAGTCGTCAAATTTAGGATCACTAGTAAGAAAACAAACCAATATTTTATGCCTCCTGTTGTGATACATGGAAAAATACACACTACCTACATAATATTCTTCTTTTTTTAAGTTTCAGAATTGCTGTTTTCTTTTTATTTATTTATTTATTTATTTTTTCCTTTTTCTCCCCAAAGCCCCCTGGTATATAGTTGTATACTTTTAGTTGTGGGTCCTTCCAGTTGTGGTATGTGGGCCACTACCTCAGCATGGCTTGATGAGTGGTACCCAGGATCTGAACCGGCAAAACGCTGGGCCACTGAAGTGGAGCGCGAAAACTTAACCACTCAGCCACGGGGCCAGCCCCTATCTGCATAATATTCTTGCCAAAAATGTTTAACTTGAACCTAATCAGGAGGAACAATCAGATAAATGTAATCGAGGAGTATGATGCCAAACAACTGTGTAGGCTCTTCAAAAGCATTTCTTTTTCCTTCAAAATTTTAAATGTCATAGCAGACCAAAAAAAAAAAGTAAAATAAGTAAAAGAACTGTTCAAGATTAGAGACAAAAGACACATCACAAGTAAATGTAATGTGTGATCCTTGATTGGATTCTGGATGGAGGAAAAAGCTATAAAGGATATTAAGACAATAATGATACTGAGAACATACACATATACAGATATATTGTATATAAAAAATATAAACTGTATATATTAGATAGTTGTATTGCATCAACAATAGATTTTTCAAGTATGATCATCATATTGTGGTTATGGGAGAATACTGGGTAAAGTATAGTATCTGCAATTTAGTCTCATATGGCTTAGAGGGAAAATATAGATATGGGGAGATAAATATTAACAATCAGCAAATCTAGGTAAAGAATAAACAGATGTTCATTGTACTATTTGAATTTTTCTGTATGTTTGAAAAATTCAAAATAATAATTTGGGAAAGAATAAACTAAGAAAAAACAATTCTGATCATAGCACACCTCTATTTAAAGCACTTTTAACCCAGGAAAAAAAGGGTAGGAGGGGATTCTCTGCTGACTCCTCCAGCTTGGAGGATTGAGTCCTAACTTCTCTGTTTACTAGAAAAGGCCCTTGCCAGTCTGATTCTGACTAAATCAGTCTCACTACACATCCTCCACCAGTGTCTTTCACAGTGTAGCTCACAAAAAGTTAGAAGGTTATAAAATCAATTTTGTAGGTCAAAACTAGCCTTGATTAGAACAGAAAATATCAGAGTGCAGAGGGAAAAGATCAGAGGGTAAGCAGTGTTTGGTGAAACTTTTGTTTTAAATGAAAGTGCGTAGACTGAATACATATACTAGGTCACAAGGTAAATTCTGTCATTTTAAAATTTACTTAATTCTCATATTTCTTACCATAAATCAAAGTAGGAAAGACTCATGGATGGGCTAATCATCTAATTTTGAGTCCTGACTTTAGTCATGTGGTTTTCCAGTTTAATAATAAAGGATAATTCTGTTTAATAAAAGGCTGTATAAAATGACCCCTCTACCCCCTGACAAAATCTGTGATAGGCATCTCTAAAAACTGCTAAACCAGGCTGAGAAGGTGCACCTCAAGATCTGATTATTAATTGTGAGATGGACAGTTGTTTGCTTCTATAAAGCCAACCAAAACTATTTAAGGATTCATCCTACTAATAGCTAGGCCAACTGACACAATATGAAAACACTAAGAAGTTAATAAATTACATGAAAAAGGAACAAAGCAATCACTGAATCTACGGTCATATATTCATAAAAATTGGGGGAAAAGTACTTATTGTTAAAGAGTGTATTTAGAAGTCCCACCTGATTCTTTGGCATACTTATATTAACATGCAATCTCTACCTTATCTTTGGAGAACATGGTTTTCGGATGTTCATCCTGCGTTCGGGACTGCCATGTTAGGTTGGCCAAAGCACTAAGGCACATTTCCTTCAAGTCTATCAAAAACAAAAAGGAAGAAAAAGGTATCTATAGTATTATATTCCTATTACCAAAACAATAGTCAACTAGATGGTCCACAAATTAACAGCTACAGCAGCAAAAAGTAGAGTCATCATTTGATCTGAAATGGACAATAGCAATTATTCAGAGGTAAACCCCAACATAACTTCTACCAGCTACCAGGCAAAGCTTTCCTGATCCTGCTAAGCCCAAATTCCTTTTCTTTTTCAGCTAACCAGAGGACCACCCTTTTGCAGTACTCCAGAGTCTGTTCTTACTTGCTTGCTTCCGGAGGAAATAGGTATTCCCACTATGATGGCACACGTTGCAGTGAAAGCTGTAGTTGGTCATGAAAGGTAGACAGGATCTGCAGAAAAGCCAGTTGTACAGATCAGTGAACTTCTGAACACGACTTCTTCATGAGAAGTGAATTAACAGCGACTATTCCGCTCGGTGCAAGTGAGATAACAATGTTAATATATTAATACACTCTTAACACTTCAAAAGGTCACCAAAACCAGAACTGGGCTTATATTTTTAAATACCTGGATTTTTCTGTCACAAATATTTAATAAGACATTATTGATTATAACGGATAATTCAGCATCTAGAAGGTTCTTATTGGCATCTTGTCCAGGCCAGATTCTTACAGTTTTTGAACACCTATAGAGTATGCCAGGCCAGGTATGGAAGAAGACAAAACAGTCTCTTTAAATATCGTTATATTTAAATATTTGTATTTAAATTATATTTAAATATCTCTTTAAACTGCCAATAACATTGTTGGAAAGGGTAGGCAGAAGGTATGAAAAGATTAATTTGAAATGTAAATAATTATTCCAGAAGACAACACAAGTCACAAAACATTACTTGCCTCATTACCCAACGAATCCTACAGAGGATAATTAGTCTATAAGAGTTTAAAGGCCCAAGAAGTAACTTCAGATTTAGGAGTTAGGAAAGATTTTTCAAGGATGTAAATCATGAAGTGGATTTGGAAAGATGAGTGGGTTTTCTTTTCCAGAGTTAGATGAGAAAGCTCAAACTAGATGGCAGAGGGGCAAACTAATATAAACCAGTTTGTCCAGGAGAGACGATTTGTCGGGCATATGGTAAAAAAACAAGGCTTGAAAGGCAGGAAGTACAAGAAGCCCTTACATGCCAGGTGGAACTGGATTTTTTCTGTGGGTAATGGGAACTCCTTGAAGGAAAAGAAACATGGTTACAATGGTAAGTTTAGTGATAGGATGGGTTTGAAGGGAGGAAGAAGTTAGAAAAAGCGATGTATATAAGAGGCTTTTGTAACAGTTCCTGCAGAAGGTAAAAAAGGCCTCACCTAGAGTGATATTAATAAAATGGAAAGGACAAGCAGGTGTATAAGAAGAAAAAAAATTGGTAAAGCTTGGTGACTGATTTGAGGTTGGGGGGTAAGTGAAAGGCGTTCTAACCACTAAGACTGCTTGTATCACGAAGAGGAAATTTCCTAAGAGGTGTTCAGGGCAAGAAAAGACTTGTCTGTTTGAAGCCAGAGAGGAAGAAGCCGGTGGAGGGAGAGACTGCATATGGCAGAGACTGAGGACACACTGAGGAACTGAGGCCTTAGAGGAGGGAAGTGCAGTGGTGAGAGCACTGGATGACTGGAAAAGTACAAGGAGGGCTTAGTTTCGAAAAGGAGAGTGACAGAAAAAGAAAAGACCAGTTTAGGTTGGAAGAGAAAAAATCAAAATAAAGGCAGGTTTATCTGGGACTCTGCTATAACTAGCTTAAGGGATCCTCAAAGAGAAGGGTTCCAAGTGTGTGTCGATCATTACCACTCAGGAAATTAAGGGACATTCTTATGAATGTTAAGATTGTATTTCCTTACCTTAATTTCTCTCTAGAGCTCCTTCTGTTAAACAGCCTCTTGCGATAAACTCACTTACAGAAGGCAAAGCCTCATACCACAGATAGCCAAGTACATAGTCAGTATTTCATTCAAACACAATCCCGTGTTTAGAGCAGCCTTTCTCATACGCTGCTAGCTCACTTGCTCCATCTCAGCCATAGAAGAAAATCTGTCCCATCCAGCTAGGCTTTAGCTGTAACTTCTCAAATTCAGGTGCAAACTAGGCTCTACTTAACTCTGTACTGTGGATTCTTCTCTGGATTGTTCCAAATTACCTCTCTGGTAAACTTCCCTTCCTAGGCCCTGTCCATCCAAATTCTCCTTGGCCAAAGTGGCCCAATTTTAGGTCTTTCCAAGATCAGTTCTTTCTTCCTGATCCTTCAGTATTTTTCTTTCTTTTTTAAACTTTCTATCATTGGTCACCAGTCACATGTTAATTGGAAGATTAGCATTTCTAACTCCCGCTTTAACTTTTTAACTAGAACATAGAACTAGAACTAGCATACAACAAATTATACAGGAAGGGTATTTGTTCATAACCCCACCCAAGGGGGATTAATTTCAGAATTAATAAATGCAGCATTATTGGGCCAGCTCCAGTGGTCTAGTGGTTAAGTTCTGCACGCTCTGCTTCGGTGGCCCGGGTTGAGTTCCTGGGCACGGACCTCCACTGCGGTTAGCAGTCACGCTGGCTGGTGGCCCAAATACTAAAAAATAGAGGATGATTGGCATGAATGTTCGCTCAAGGGGAATCTTCCTCAGGAGAAAAAAAAGGGCAAAACAGACAGCATTATTTTGAGATGGTCTTATCTAAATTTATTTGTACATTATAAACCATAAAGAACAGCACAGAGAGCCAGCAGTACAGTTATTCCCATAGACAGTGAGTCAGTAATGCTCACCTGCTAGCTGTTGACTGACTCCCTTGAATAAGGCGACAAGAGATTTTCACATATTGAGGTACATGGGGTAACTATTCGGGTTCAAAACTGATTCAGCTTGAACTAAAAAGCCTGACTTATGGCCTATCAAACATACAGTGAACATCAGCTTAACCATTAAAGAATGACCTCTGTTAGGATAAGAATGCATACTTCCCCTTCTGGGCCCTCTGGGTAATGCCTGAATTAGGCCCTTTCCAGACACAAAGGTCACATTGACCTGTTAATTTGCAATTGAATACCTCTTTGAAATTTTGATGAAAATGTATCCTGGGTATGTTTAATCTATGTGCTTTGTTCTAAATAGATATAAGACTGTACTGAAAACCATGCTTCTCCAGAACACGTTCTAAGGCCTTCCCAGGTTATAATCCTCATTCTGGCTCAAGTAAACTCACCTTACTTGTCTTGTCTATAGAATGGTTATTGGTTATTTGCGTCGACAAAGGAAAGAAGGCTTTCGTGCTCAATCAATCATAAAATGATTTTAATTCACTAGAAGAGGTAAAACATTGGAAATAGGTTTTGCTGAGGAGAGAACTCAGGATACCTAAAGGGAGTGAGTTAGAAGCCCAAAGGAAATTGATGCGGGGTCGGTGAGCCGAGGAGTCGAAAGAAAGATTTCTTAGACTCTCAAGATCTGGCAGTAGTGCTCTTTTATTTAGAGAATAGTGTGGAATAGCATGGGGACAGGACCCATGGGCAGTCAGAGCTTCTGCTGCCGCCGCTTCTGCTGCCCCCGCTGGCATGGGGACAGGACCCATGGGCAGGCAGAGCTGGTGCGTGGGGACAGGACCCACGGGCAGTCAGAGCTCCTGCTGCTGCCCCCGCTGGCATGGGGACAGGTCCCATGGGCAGGCAGAGCTGGTGTGTGGGGACAAGACCCACAGGCAGTCAGAGCTCCTGCTGCTGCCCCTGCTGGCATGGGGACAGGTCCCATGGGCAGGCAGAGCTGGTGTGTGGGGACAAGACCCACAGGCAGTCAGAGCTCCTGCTGCTGCCCTGAGTTGAGGGTTAGGGCTAATTTTATAAGGCATGGGTACGTGACTTATTTTTACTGGAAAAAAAGAAAAGATGATGTAAAAAGTCATTAAATGATTTCAGTGCAGATGGGGTCTGGTTATTGTGCGGTCATATAACTTTAGATACGAATCTGGCCATATAGATCGGCATGCAGGTGAGGATGCCCCGGGCTTCTCTCCCTGGGGCAGTCCTAATTCATACCATAAAAAAAGTCCACTGGGTCGTATAGTTTGGCATGTAGGCCAGGTCACCTTGGGCTTCTCTGGCTGGGGCAGCCTTAATCCACATCAGAAATAAAGGATGGCTCAAGCATAGAGAGGCACTAGTCATTTCAAATTTTAGACAACAGGCTTTGTCCACCACACACACCAACACTTTCCCCAAAACTGACAATACTCACCACAAGATTTAAATGATACTGTCTCAAATTTGTTTACATAATGCTTTGTAATTGCACGTTTGTGTCTCCCAACCCGGTTGCAAGCTCAAAAGCAGAGATGATACCTAACACTGTACCTATCAGGGCTGTGCTCTCAGTAGGCAGAAAACATCCTCAGGGTATTAAAACAATTTCTGATTCAACATCCTATTACTCACTGAACAGTGGTCAGGAGACGTAGGAAATACTAGGCATTACATTTGTCTATAAACTATTCAACTGTTGAACAGATTGAAATCCATTTACAAAGTGATTCTTACAAAGACTACACAAAATACTCACGAGGTATCTATGCCAAAGGTGTCTGCTGTGAACCACTTTGTACATATCCCACACTGCAGCTCCACCTCTCCCAGCTGTCGGCCATTCTCCTCATCCACGGAGCCCGCCTGAGTATCCATCACCTCTGAAGTATCCCCAGCACCTTCCTGTGTGCACAGAGCAATTAGAGAGTAAGCCAGTTGTTCGTAGTGCCCTTGAGTAGATTCCAACTACCAGCAACCCGTGTAGAGCAGAGCAGAACCCTGCCCGGTCTTTTTGTGCCATCTTCTCACCTTCCCGTCCTGTATCAGACAATGCTCCGGGGCTATTCATGGGGTTTTGAAGTTAGTTGACCTGATTGCATTTTTGACTCGCTTAAAAACTTAAAAAACAAACTCTATTTTGCCTTGCAAACATCCGAAAAGAAATACTTACTAGTGTATCTTTTCCATTAGAGGATTCCGTCTCCAAACCACCACTTACATCAACGGAGTTTGCATCCCTGTAAGGTAACGAAAGCACTCAAGTCAGTATTTTCAAGAGAAACCAACCTCAAAATGACTATTCCCAAAGATGGTGATCAAGGAACAAGTGAACTTCACACTCCTGCAGCCTTTCCAGCTAAGCCCGTTCTCAGAGTGGATGCCCGGAGCTAGGATGAGAACGTGGCCATGTGAGACGCAGCTCCAGGGGGCACAGGGAAGCCTAACCGGTCCTTACAGACAAGTCTATATGGGACGGAACTCGTCCTGGGGGAGGTTCGCAGAGACGCAGCCCTCCCACTCTGTTTTCAGAGGGGCCGTTACTTCTTCCAGTCTGAATGGCAAAGTGGTTTCTTCTCTGAGATACCTGAGGAGTTCCTGCGAGAAGAGTGAGCTATCACCTCCCGCCGGCGTGCAAGGGCCGGCGACTGGACTAGAACCTGGGCTCCCACAAACCGCGAGAGGAGCGGAAAGGGGCGTGGCCTGAGATACAGTTGGGAGGGGACAGGCCAGGCGGCGGGCGGGGCTAAGGCCCGGGAGCGGGCAGGGCGAGCCGTTGGCTGCAGGGCCCGGGTTCCGAAGGGGCGGGCAGGAAGGCTCCTGGGAGCCGGGCATTCCAAGACGCGCGGCCTCCCTCCCCGTGTCCTCCTCAGGCCGCAGGACGTCCTACCCGCTTTCGGCCTCTCCGGAACTGGGCTCTGCTGCTGGAGCAGCAGATGTCCCCTCTCCGACCGAAGCGGCTGCTACCGCTACCACCGGCTTCGTCTCCCCTTCTTCCGCCGCTGTTGCATTTGCAGCCGCCGCGGGACCCGGTCCTGCACCCACTCCCGGGCCGGGTCCGGTTCCCGCCGCCGCCATCACTGTCGCCTCCAAGACTTCTCGCGAGAATATTACCTCCGTCTCGCGCGACTTGCTGACTGGCTCTGTAACCTTCAAATAGTAAAGGCCCATTGGTGGGGTCCAGCGCCGCCTGAGAAAGGCGCAGCCCAGGCCCGCTTTAAGGGCGGGTGGGCGGCGCCTCGGGGGTTAGAGCGCCGCAGGCAAAGGTGGGCGAAGGCGGCGGAGGCTCGGTTATTAATTGGGTTTCCCTTGGAATCACTTCATTTCGCTGTGCATTTTTGTTGTTAAGACTGGAAATCACCGTGCAGAGGAGGCGCCTTGAGAGCGTGACGTTCCTCTCGGTTAAATGTGGGAAACGTCTTCCAGAAAGACGAGCACTCACTGCCCCGTCCCAGAAGCAGTAGTTTGCTGTACTGCCCTAGTGATCTGCCACTTTGAGCACGTTTCCAAGTGGCCTCTAGATATGGAGCCCCGACCGTCTGTAGGCTGAGCCTCAGCTGCGCGGTCTAGAGCCGCGGAGAAGATGAGGATGGAGTATCCAGGCGGAAGAGATAAGAAGCAACGTGTGTTCTAGAAGCTGCAAGCCGCTTACTGTTGTGAGAGGAGGAAAATGAAGCCCGAGAGTTAGGAAGCCAGGGGCTGGACTTAAGAGTTTAGAAAAGTTTGGTCCTTAGAGAAAGTAACAGGCATGAACTTGAATCAGGGACAGTGTTGGTAGGTGACGTCATTGGAGCGAGTGGAATCTTTCAGAGCCGTGGTCTTCAAACTCAAGAATACAAACCCCTAGAACTACTCCGGCCAGGACAGTTTTCAGGAACTCGGTGTTTACATTCTGATTCCTAAAAAGTTGCTTACAGATACACCTTTTCTCCCACTTTAAAAAAGAAAGGCATACTGCTGTCCGATCCTGAATGTAAACTTACTGTGATGTGTTGCCCCAGGCTGTATAAACCTCTGCGACGCCCAACGTTAGACTAATTGGAAGTATGATTTCCCAATTGGTTCCCAATTGTTCTCAACAAAATTGAAGAAGGATCCGAGTTACCAGCTGGTAGATTACTTTAAAAATTGTTGGTGCTAAATGCTAAAAGTAGTGGGTGAAACTTTAAGAAGAAAGAGGATACTTGCACAGACTCAAAGTATTTCCCCCAACAGAATTATTAATTATAGCGATGGTTTTAACGTGTGGCCTCAAAATCTTTGATGTTCCTTCCCCCAGGAGGTAAAGCTTGAATTCTCCCTTCCCTCGTGTGTGTGTGTGTGTGTGTGTGTGTGTGTGTGTGAGACAGATAGAGAGAGAGAGGGAGAGTGAGCTGGATTTAGTGACTTGATTCTAAACAATAGAATGTGGAAAAGGAAAACAGTAATATTTATGGTGGAGAAACTGGGAGACACCACCGTAACCAAGAGGTCAAGGTTAACATCACCAGTAATAAGTCATGTTGATGTCGCTTGCCCCAATATGATACAATAAGAAGGCTACTTCATTTCTGTGGAATTCTTTCCAAAAAGCCACAACCCCAGTCTAATCAAGAGAAAACATCAGCCAAATCCAAATTGAGATATTCTAGAAAATTTGCCTCAAAGCTGTCAACATCATGAAAGAAAAAGAAAGACTGAGAAACTCTGAAGGGCACCAAGGAGACGTGACAACTAAATGCAGTGTGGTATCCTGGGTTGGATCCTGGAAGAGAAAGGGACATTAGTGGAAAAACTAAAACCTGTAAAGTCTATAGCCTGTAGTTAATAGTATTATAGCAGTATTAATGTCTTAGTTTTGATCAGTATACTATGCTTTAAGATGTTAACGTTAGGGGAAGCTGGGTTAAGGGTATATGGGGGAACTCTGAACTGTCTTTATGATTCTATTGTAAATCTAAAATTAATTGAATATTTAAAGTTTAAAAAATAAGTGGTGGTGGTCAATCATGTGATTTGGCATAGAACTTTGAAGGAGTTCAAAGAATTGATTTCAACTGATTCAGTAAATCCTAGATAGGAATCAGCTTACTTATATAAACAATGATTGTCAGCTCTTACATCTATAAAAATGAAAACTTGGAGTAGGATTGATGCTAAACCTGTCTCATTCTAGCAATACTAGTATTCATTCATGGACATATGGATTAATTGAAAAAATAAATTAGTCACATTAAAAGTTGCATCACCAATAAAATTCTAATTTTTCTAATTTTTATGTTTAATTATCAAAATACATAATATATTTTATTTCACCAATTGCGTACTAATAATTGATAATGCATTCAAGAAGAAATATCTTAACACTAGAGTCTTATGGTCACAGGAAGTTTTTAAAAATTTAATTTCCAGTTTTCTACATATTTTCTACGTCAGAGAAGTATTATAGACTTTCTACCATAAAAATAGATTTATACACTAATGTGTTGCCTATATATTATGTGTATATATTACATTTTATTTTATGAGGGAAGAGGAGTGGAATTCTGAGTTAAAGAGAAAATGAGATGATAGGAAATTTCCACCTATTAAAGAAACCTTATTCATGTATTTTTTGAATGGATGATGGCAGGTATCAAATCACTACAGTGGAAATATTTTTTTAGTGTTCTTTAACAATGTTAATGTTTACAGTCCACCTGAAATCCTCTGCATCAAGTTAAACTTAAAATGATAAACTTATGCAAACAAAATTTTGAAGACCATTAATTTAGAACAATGTCTTTCAAATGTTTTGACCATAACTCACATAAGAAATTCATTTTACAATGGGACCTCAATATGCACATTATGTTATTTACAATTGAAATGAAAGATTCATGAAACAGTCCGTACTTTGTATTATATCTTCTTTTTTTTTTTTTTTTCAGACTTCAAAAGGAATTTATTACCTTTCCTAAAAAAATCCCAAACTGCAGGTTAGCGCACAGCCATCAAGTAGAGCAGGACTTCTCACTTACGTCTTTTTTTTTTTTTTTTCTTTTTATTAATGTTATGATAGATTACAACCTTGTGAGATTTCAGTTGTACATTTTTGTTAGTCATGTTGTGGGTACACCACTTCCCCCTCTGTGCCCTCCCCCCACCCCCCCTTTTCCCTGGTAACCACCCATCAGATCTCCTTATCAATATACTAATTTCCACCTATGAGTGGAGTCATACAGAGTTCGTCTTTCTCTGACTGGCTTATTTCGCTTAACATAATACCCTCGAGGTCCATCCACGTTGTTGTGAATGGGCCAATTTTGTCTTTTTTTATGGCTGAGTAGTATTCCATTGTGTATATATACCACATCTTCTTTATCCAATCATCAGTTTCTGGGCATGTAGGCTGGTTCCACGTCTTGGCTATTGTAAATAATGCTGCGATGAACATAGGGGTGCAACGGACTCTTGAGATTTCTGATATCAGGTTCTTAGGATAGATACCCAGTAATGGGATGGCTGGGTCATAGGGTATTTCTATTTTTAACTTTTTGAGAAATCTCCATACTGTTTTCCATAGTGGCTGTACCAGTTTGCATTCCCACCAACAGTGTATGAGGGTTCCTTTTTCTCCACAACCTCTCCAACATTTGTCACTCTTGGTTTTGGATGTTTTTGCCAATCTAACGGGTGTAAGGTGATATCTTAGTGTAGTTTTGATTTGCATTTCCCTGATGATTAGCGATGATGAACATCTTTTCATGTGTCTATTGGCCATATTCATATCTTCTTTTGAGAAATGTCTGTTCATGTCCTCTGCCCATTTTTTGATCGGGTTGTTTGTTTTTTTGTTGTTAAGCCGTGTGAGTTCTTTGTATATTATGGAGATTAACCCTTTGTCGGATAAGTGGCTTGTAAATATTTTTTCCCAATTAGTGAGCTGTTTTTTTGTTTCTATCCTGTTTTCCCTTGCCTTGAAGAAGCTCTTTAGTCTGATGAAGTCCCATTTGTTTATTCTTTCTATTGTTTCCCTCAACTGAGGAGATACAGTGTCCGAAAAGATTCTTTTGAAACTGATGTCAAAGAGTGTACTGCCTATATTCTCTTCCAAAAGACTTATTGTCTCAGGCCTAATCTTTAGGTCTTTGATCCATTTTGAGTTTATTTTGGTGTGTGGTGAAAAAGACTGGTCAATTTTCAATCTTTTGCATGTGGCTGTCCAGTTTTCCCAGCACCATTTGTTGAAGAGACTTTCTTTTCTCCATTGTAGGCCCTCTGCTCCTTTGTCGAAGATTAGCTGTCCATAGATGTGGGGTTTTATCTCTGGGCTTTCAATTCTGTTCCATTGATCTGTGGACCTGTTTTTGTACCAGTACCATGCTGTTTTGGTCACTGTAGCTTTGTAGTATGTTTTGAAATCGGGGATTGTGATTCCGCCGGCTTTGTTTTTCTTGCTCAGGATTGCTTTAGCAATTCGCGGTCTTTTGTTGCCCCATATGAATTTTAGGATTGTTTGTTCAATTTCTGTGAAGAATGTTCTTGGGATTCTGATTGGGATAGCATTGAATCTGTAGATTGCTTTAGGTAGTATGGACATTTTAACTATGTTTATTCTTCCAATCCATGTGCAAGGAATGTCTTTCCATCTCTTTATGTCACCGTCGATTTCTTTCAAGAAAGTCTTGTAGTTTTCGTTGTGTAGATCTTTCACTTCCTTGGTTAAATTTATCCCAAAGTATTTTATTCTTTTTGTTGTGATTGTGAATGGGATTCAGTTCTTGAGATCTTTTTCTGTTAGTTCATTGTTAGCATATAGAAATGCTACTGATTTATGTATGTTGATTTTATACCCTGCAACTTTGCTGTAGTTGTTGATTGTTTCTAATAGTTTTTCTATGGATTCTTTGGGGTTTTCTATATATAAGATCATGTCATCTGCAAACAGCCAGAGTTTTACTTCTTCGTTGCCTATTTGAATTCCTTTTATTTCTTTTTCCTGCCGAATTGCTCTGGCCAAAACCTCCAGTACTATGTTGAATAAGAGTGTCTTGTTCCTGTTCTGAGAGGGATGGGTTTCAGTTTTTATCCATTGAGTATGATGTTGGCTGTGGGTTTGTCATATATGGTCTTTATTATGTTGAGGTACTTTCCTTCTATACCTATTTTATTGAGGGTTTTTATCATAAATAGATGTTGGATCTTGTCAAATGCTT